AAAACTAAAGGCTCTATCTTTGTAATATAGAGTCGCATTCGAAATCAGCGGTAGGCTTAGCTGGGACAAGACTGCATGCTGTTATCAGAGTACCTTAAATGAAACCCTGAAGAGGGATAGAGATATGAGAACCAAAAATTCCCAGAGAAAGGTAAGAGAATTAATGTGTGGTGGGACCAAACCATAATAGCACAATATCTTCTTCTTCTTCTGCTTCTGCTCCTTCTCCTTCTTTCATTTCCATGGACCATAAATATGAGCACAAATTGGGTTAAGTTGGGTTGTAATGGCTAGGTGTCCCATGATGTGAATGCAGGGTGAGCAAAGTCACATGGAAACCGAGACACAGGGATAGGGCCACAAGGGTTTGGTTTCAAATTTTGAATCAATCCAAGGCTTTCCATAAATGCATTGAGGGGGGGCTACGCTTTGTCTCCTACTAATGCTTTTCACTGTTTTATTACTTCCCATTATTGAATCTTCATCTTCTTTTACTGTTGTAGCCCAAACTCAGACAAGTACGGACGATATGCCTCAAAACTAGAATCCTACATATTTGTATACATAAGGAGGCCATGCTCCCTACATAGCTTCTGCCACCCTCCTAGCTTTATATTATATTATGATTTCTTCATAATTGCAATCTATCTTTTGATTACTACAACTACCGGATCTCAACCTCTATATTTGTTTATTCTACGCTTTCTAGCTGTTTTAGTCCGTTACGTAATGTAAGCTCACGATTTTAAAACGTGTGGGCTAGTGTCCTTGCTGGTACACTGCCCGACTCTGATAAAATTTGTAACAACTCAAGCTCACTGCTAGCAGATATCGTATGTTTTGGCCCGTTATGTATTGTCATCAGTCTCACAGTTTATAACGCATCTATTAAGGTGAGGTTTCCACACCCATATAAAGAATACTCCGTTCCCATGTCCAACTGACATCGGATTTCACGATCTACCCTCTTGGGGGGCCCAACGTCCTTGCTGGCACACCACTCGGTGTTTGACTTTGATATCATTTGTAATAGCCCCAAGCTCACCGCTAACAGATATTGTCCGTTTTTGTTCATTAAGTATCGTCGTGAGCCTCATAATTTTAAAACGCATCTGTTAGAGAGAGGTTTCTACACCCTTATAAAGAACGTTTCGTCCCCCTCTCCAACCGATGTGAAATCTTACAATCCATCCCTCAGGGGCCAGTGTCCTCACTGGCACACAACTCGGTGTCTAGCTTTGATAACATTTGTAATAGCTCAAGCTCACCGGTAGCGGATATTGTCTTATTCGACATATTAAAAATTTTTAAACGTTTTAAAATTTAAACTTATTTCCAATTTGTAGCTTAATTTGAAATGGATTTCTTGACTCTAAAAAAGAAAAATAATAAAAAATTACAATTCATTAAAAAAAAATATACATATTAATTAACCAAACCTCATCAATATATTTTAATTGTCACCTCTTTTTTTCAAACGGGTGCCATTTATTTAAGTTGGGTTACAGCAAAGAGCAGAACAAATCTATGTAATCATCGTAGGTTGTCTCATGCACTTGAGGTGAAAACATTCCATTGTCTGCTGAGAACTGCATGGAGCCGTCAAGAACATAGCTCACATCGTCACCATCCCACATAAATGGTTCATTCCACAGATCTCCATAGCCGCTCCGATCATATTCTTCCACCGCCCAATTCAGCCTCCCAAAATTGGCATCGCTGGAACTCGAAGACGTTTGTACCGACAATGAAGAGCTCTCTACAATCCCAAATTTGGTGGAGCAATAGCCCGTAAACTCTTCTGTTTTTGCTTCCAAATCAGACGCTATGTTCGGTCTTAATTTCTTCGGTTTTGGTTGAGTTGATGATTCTGATTTACGCTCTATTTGTTTCTTTAGGTGAGCGTTCCAATGATTCTTTATCTCGTTGTCCGTTCTTCCGGATAGTTTCGTCGCAACCATCGACCATCTAAAACACAATGCTAGACATTACAACTCTTGATTAAAAAGTTGAGAGTTGCGAGCGAGAGAGATATGGCATTTAGAGCTACCTATTGCCATGCATTTCATGCAATTTGTAGATTAAGTCATTCTCTTCATCTGTGTAGTTTCCTTTCTTGAGACCGGGGCGGAGATAGTTCAACCAACGTAGTCTACAACTCTTGCCACATCTTGCCAGCCCTGTGTAATTGCCCAAACTCAAGTCAGAATTTCATGCCACATTAGTTAATTAAGGGAATGATCATGAGTTTATAAATAATAAATATATCTACATTGGTACGAGGTCTTTTAGGGAAACTAAAAACAAAGTCACGAGGGCTTATGCCCACAATGGACAATATCATACCATTGTGGAGAGTTGTGGCTCTTAACATGGTAGTGAGTCATGCCCTAAGCTTAGTCATGTCAATAGAATTTTCAAATATCGAACAAAGAAGTTGTGGGTCTCGATAGTTGTAGTCAAAAGTGACTCAAGTGCTTTGTTTGAGGGTTCTAGAGAAAAAAGTCGAGCCTCGATTCAAGAAAGGCTGTTCGAGGGCTCAATAGGCCTCATAGGAGGCTCTATGGTGTACTTTGTTCAGATTGTTGGGAGGATGTACCACATTAGCTAATTAGGGGGATGATCATGGGTTTATAAAAAGGATACATCTCCACTGGTACGAGCCATTTTGGGGAAACCAAAAGCAAAACCATGAGAGATTATGCTCATAGTGTACAATATCATACCATTGTGCACAGTTGTGGTTCCTAACATGATATCTGAATCATGCCCTTAACATAACTATGTCACTAGAATCCTCAATTATCGAACAAAGAAGTTCTGAGTTTCGAAAGTGTAGTCAAAAGTGACTCAAGTACTTTGTTCAAGGGTTCCAGAGAAAGAAGTCGAGCTTCGATTCAAGAGAGGCTGTTCGAGGGCTCACTATGGCTGTTCGAGGGCTCAATCGGCCTAAAGTGGACAATACACAATCGTGGTTCATTATTGAAGATTAAGTACCTGCAAGACTGGGAAGCTGCCGCCATTTCCGAGGGCCATGTTTCTGAACATAACCCATGAGCTTATCATCTTCTTCAGAACTCCAAGCACCTCTCTTGACTCCATCCTTATCAACAATCGGTGCTCGCACCATTTTCTTAGAGAGTTCCAGAGGTTATTGCATGCGAATCGGGGGTGAATTGATGAATGGGGAGGCTTGGGTAGATGCTTAGTTAAGGGATATATATATATATATATATAAGGTGTGGATTGAGGGCCCGAGCTTACGAAATCCATGTCGTCATTTCAACTATGTGTTAAGCTGAAATGGACAAACATGGGTGTGAACATGCACAAACATCGCTGCAACAGTTGTTTAACGTGCGAAATTAAACAAACGAGTGATTGTTGTTGGACTTATTACAAAACATACTCATCTTACCTTAAGTCACTTTCAATTCCCATGTTATGTTAAAATATCTTGTCTAACCACCGGAAGTCCAATAATTGTATGAGTCTTCTAATACTGATACCACCTGGATCTCACAATTCACACTCTTGGAAGATCCAGCATTATCATTGGCACACTGCTTAGTGTCATACTGTTTATATCCGCTAAGCCTATTATTATCTGATATTATCTATTGGCTTCCTTTCAAAATTTTAAAACCTATTTTTAGGGAGAGGTTTTCCACTAAGGTATTTTTGTTACTCTCTCCAAACTACTAAGTATCTCAACATATTTATTTATGGGAATAGGACAGGTGTAGGAACGGGGATGAGGAATATAATTTTTCGACCCCATTTAGCTAATGAATAGAAATGTCTCTCCACTCCCTCCTCATTCCCTATTTAAACGAGTGGGTCAAGTCTCAACTTTAAATAAATTAGTTTAATCAGATTAAACTTAAGATTAAACTTAAAATTTGGAGACAACTTTATGAATGGATTAATTTAATGCACAATATGATCATTGTAACGACCCGAAACAAAAAAAAAAAAGTTGGATCTGGGTCGTTACATTCATACTTCTATATGTTGGTGATAAGATATTTATTATTTTTTTTTTGATTTCTTATTAGCCATAGATATAAATGATGTTTATAATTTAAGGAAATCTTTGGAGTACGATTTTGAGTTTGAATGAATTTGACTTATAAAGGCGAACCATGTTCGAGGCAATGACGTGGGTACCCCGAACTTGTTCGTTGTGTGAAATGACGAACCTTCGTTCCTCTCCATACACAAACAAACTAACCCGACAACGACATACCATGAAACTAGCAAGACAAGAATATCATGGTCCTTAGAGACCACACATTTTAAAAGTTGCCATGTGAAATAAAACAAAGGGCGTTGAATAGTGATTCATTCTATAATTCAATTGATTTTTGTTTGGAGGTTCACTTTTCATACCTTGTATTAAATGTCCTACTCTAACTCCCCCTCCCACAAACTTTGAAAAATCTTGGACACATATTTAATTCTTATAAAATAATCTTTTTAATTACGTTTCTATTTTATTTCAGACAAGTTTTACATCGTATGACGAGTGTGCACGGTTCGGTTACGTTCAATTTTTGGCCCGTTACGTCTCACCGTCAGCCTCACGATTTTAAAACGTGTCTATTAGAGAGAGGTCTCCATACTCTTATAAGGAAGGATTTGTTCCCCTCTTTAACCAATGTGAGATCTCACAATTCACTCCTCTTGTGGCTTAGTATCCTCGCTAGCACTCCACCTAGTGTCTAGCTCTGATATCATTTGTAAAGCCTGAGGCCATCGCTAGTAGATAATGTCCATTTTAGCTTGTTATATATTGTTGTCAGCCTCACAATTTCAAAACGCATCTACTAGATTTTTACACTCCTGCCCAAAAAATATGAGATCAAAAAATAAAAAATAAAAAATAAATAAAAACGCGGGAGGCACGACCCAATTAAAGCCCAATCAGAGAGGGCCCATTGTCTTGGATCCATGGGCTTTATTCGAGGCCCATATCCAAAGCTCTCCACAAACTGGAGCGAGCGTGCCCGAAGTTTCAACTCGGAGGATGTAACAATGGCTACCAAGCTGCTTCCTCTGCGTAAGCTTTCAAGGATACTGAAGGTGCCGTCTTTTTTATCTTCTTCCTCCTCTTCTTCTTTCAGGAAGTATTCGTATCTTCTAGAATCTACAAGACCTCTCCTCGATCTCTCCGATAATGTTCATCAATTTCATCCTCCGTCTTTTTCTCGAAGTTTCTGCTCCCGCCCTCTGGATTTCGTCGGCGATGATTCTCGAGGCCCTGCCACCATTGATTATAGGTAAATTCTTTATTTTCCGTTTGTAAGAGAAACTATGTATTTGAATCGAAATTTTGAAGAAGCGGAAGTTTGTAAGTTCATCCAATTTTTGTTTTGCAATCTTGAAGCCTTTCAAATTAGGTAATTGATTTTCGAATTTTTGGTCCTAACTAAACTAAGAGTAGGTTCGTGTTTCTTCAACGAAGTGTTATGGATGTCTTACATTCAGTTCAATTTCCCTTGATTGAACAAATTACGACTGCCTTTCATGGGGTTTTCTTTAGTAGTTGAATGCATCTGGTAGAAAAGGGCTCAAGTGCTCTTCACTAATCTTTGCTGCAGTTCCCTGATGCAGGAGGGAGAGTTTCATAGGTTAGCTGATTCCACAATTCATGGACTGCAAGAGAAATTAGAGGTAATTGTGTATCAATGAAATGAAAATCTTTTTGCCCTTGATTTTATCTTATAAACTAAAGGAAGGTAATAGCTTATATGTTTCATATACATATTTCGGCATTGCTGCTAAAATTTTGTTTATCTATATTTCATTGCTTGGCAGGAATATGGTGATGATCTCCAAATTGATGGCTTTGACGTAGATTATGGGGTGAGAATGACTTAGAAGCTCTAAAATTTGTTCATTTCATTTCATATGAATAGGTAATGCTTAATTTTATCCAATTTTCATTTTAGAACGAGGTACTGACCCTAAGGCTCGGCTATCTTGGCACGTACGTCTTGAACAAACAAACGCCTAACAGACAAATTTGGCTTTCTTCTCCTGTGAGGTACGAATTATGCTTCAGTATTGACTCATTCTCCTGCTGAATGATTAGTATCTATGATGTTTATCTATTCCATCTGTTTCAAAGACCATTTCAAACCAGAGGTGGTGTTAGGAACCACGAACCTCCACAATGGTATGGTATTGTTCACTTTGAGCATAAGCTCTCATGAATTTACTTTTGGTTTCTCCAAAAGGTCTCATACCAATAAAGATGTATTCCTTACTTATAAACCCATGATCAATCCCTTAATTAGCCGACGTGGGACTCTTCTTCCAACAATCCTCCCCTTGAACAAAGTATTGATCCCTTAATTAGCCGACGTGGGACTCCTCTTCCAACAATCCTCCCCTTGAACAAAGTATACCATAGAGCCTCCCCTGAGACTTATGGAGCCCTCGGACAACCTCCCCTTAATTGAGGCTCGGCTCCTTCTTTGGAAAGAACACAACTTATTTGTTCGACATTTGAGAATTCTACTGACATGACTACGTTAAGGGCATGTCTCTGATACCATATTAGGAACCACGAACCCCCACAATAGTATGATATTCTTCACTTTGAGCATAATCTCTCGTGGCTTTGCTTTTGGTTTCTCCAAAAGGCCCCATACCAATGAATATGTAGTTCTTACTTATAAACCCATGATCAACCCCTTAATTAACCGACGTGGGATTCTTCTTCTAACAATTCTCAGCACGTTGTCCCTGATTCAATTTCATGGCGAAGCTTTGCGCTCGTCTTTCGACATCTTTACCAAAAAAAAATGGAATTTTTTTCTGTTCATCTAACATTTACCCATCCCTAGATGTCTTTATCTTATATTAAAGGAGAAAATAAGGAATGAAACTACTTCGAGTTTGGTCCTGAGAGAACAAAGAGCTCAAACATAGAGGTTGATTATTCAAATATTCAAGCATTGTACACAATTTTGTGACGACCCAAGACATAGTTTGGCAAAGCTCTTCATTTTTTTTTAAAATTACGTGACAACCCATGTTATGTTCTTCCTTGCAGTGGTCCGTCCAGGTTTGATTGGGATCAGGACTCACAGGCTTGGATTTATAGGCGGAGCAAAGCAAACCTGTTGAGACTTTTAGAAACTGAATTGACGCAGCTATGTGGTGAGCCAATTAATCTTTCTTGAGCCTTTCGAATTACTTGGACATGATAAGGTTATTCTGAAGCATTTAGGCGCATGTTTATGCAGCTTGTTCAGTTTGGTCCACCTTCTTAAGTATCCCAGAGCCCCCATCTTTTTTCTCGTTTTCACTCTCTGTTGCTTATTATATGCAATAATATGATATAGTTTCTAGTGTTTCAACTTTACCTATTTATGATCCACTTGAGCTATATTCAAACTTACCGAGATATAATTAATCTTTTAGAAGGTCAAAGATTTCAACTCCCACTTTTATATGCATATATATATATATATATATGTACACACACAATCCTATGATAAGTTTGGTCAGAGGGGAGTTGGAACATTCAATGAAATTGTAAAATGTGATGAAAACTTTCAGTATGAGGTTTGAATAAGTTAAACATAACAGAGATTAACGCTAGGGAGAGGTTTTCATACCCTTATAAAAAATATTTTGTTTCCCTCTCTATCAAAGTGGGATCATACAATCCACCTCTTTAGGAGTCATTGTTTTCGCTAGCACATTGCTTGTTTTCTGGCTCTGATATCATTTGTAATAGTCCAAGTCGACCACTAGCGGATATTGAATTCTTTGATTTTCCCTTTTGAGCTTTCCTTCCATAGTTTTATGATATTATTTATATATAAAAATACTAGAGGATAAGTGGAGTAATTGATATAATACAAAGGAGAGTGAATAAAACAAGGAACAATACATATTTCCATTGATATTAAAAATTCAAATCTTCACCCCTTGGAACGAAAAGTCAGCCTCCTACATTTAATTAAGATAGGTTCATGTTCTTTTTTTTTTATTATTATTAAAAATTCGATGTAGCTTGGTTAACAAATTGGGTCGGTGGAAGCCAAAGCCAAGGCCAAGTCTGGAATGAAAAGAGGTGAGTTGACGAGAAAAGCCCATCCCCACGACATGATTTAGGCAAAGTCAAAGATTGTTGCAGACATTAAAATGACAACAACAGCCTTCTCAAAGCTTCCACGAAGGCGAGATGCAATTGCAGTCCCGTTGAGGCAACCGGACTCTTCTCTCTGTCCCTGCGCTGTCTATTGCTGAAGAAGAAAGAGATCGCATCTAACCCAATTTCTCCGTCTTTTCTTCTTCCCTTTCTTCTCACTTTATAAATCCCACTTTCATCCAACCCCAAGTTCCCAAGTTCCCAAATTCAAATTCAAATTCATCCTGTTCTTAATTAATGGCCAGAAAGAGTGCTGCTTTCCACGATTTGCTGCCTGTAATGGCAGAGCAATTAGGGGGAGAGGGCCTGATAAACGAGCTGTGTAATGGGTTTCAGCTGCTGATGGACAAGGAGAAGGGCGTCATCACGTTGGACAGCCTCCGGTTAAACTCTTCCCTTTTGGGTCTGCGGGACATGGGAGAGGCGGAGCTTCTCAGCATGATGACAGAGGGCGATTTGGATGGCGATGGCGCTTTGAACCAGATGGAGTTTTGTGTATTGATGTTTAGATTAAGCCCTGAGCTTATGGAACACTCTTTGTCTTTCCTTCAACACGCTTTCCACAACCAGTTGAAGACCTGCTGATCATTTCTCTTGTTTCAGCACGCTCTCCGACGACAGCCATGGCTTGGGCAATGGCTAAGCGAGGAATAGGAAGCCTCTGCATTTCCAATTACCCCAGGGTCGCTGTGTTACTCTGTTCTATGTCGATAACTCAGTGGTTTTGAAATAGTTAAAATTATTTTTATTGTATCTTTGTTTTTATTCAACACCAAATTCAGGTTTGCCATTGCCAACGACTCTGTTTGAATTAGAAACATGAAAGATTTAACCACACAACCCTTTCAAATTCTGTTCCCATATGGTCATAAACCGATCCATTTGAGTCTTATGCAGCCCCATGCCAATTTCAATCCCACCTTCCTCATCTCTGGATTCATGCAGAGAAATTGCGATGGAACTGTCCACATGAAGCACTTCACTTTTCTTCGGCCTTCCCCACCCAAAATCAGTATCATAAGTCCTTGATTTAGGCGACCCTGCAACGCTCAGGAAGTGTTTAGCTTTCCCACATGCCCTCCACAATGAGAACCACTCCTCTGCCATTTTAAATGGCTCACTCTCAAATTCCTCCACTCTCTTCCCGATCGCCTTCGCCACAATAGCGGTGCTATTACGCTTCAGAAGCTCACTCTTCCTCAATACTACAGCGCCCACGTCAAGGCAGTTCCCGAAATAAGTCGGAGGTATTTGATCCTTGAGGCGGTTCCGGCAATCTGCTACCAACACAAAGTAGCAGAGCTCATCTTCGTCTTCAGAACCACTCGCTTCGCTTTGGGTTGACTTAATCAGACAGCCCCAAACGAGAGAGCATGTAACGATGAACGACGACAATCGTAAAGGCTTCAACTCTTTGTCACTGTTTGATTCAGCTGAAACCCAAGTTTTCAATTTCTCGATTATGGGTCTGGTCAGGACAAGCGTCGTCCTGACCTTGTCAATAGGCGCCTGATCGATTATGGGCTTATAAGGAACTGGGTTCCATAATGAATCCCAACTTGACAACTCCCGTGTGTTAAGGATATTTAGTAATAAATTATACTTTCCCGTATATATTATATTTGATATTTTATTATAAGGCAAATATCTAACATTTGCCTTATTACTATAGATATCTTTCCATTTATTGTTATTTCCATTTATTACTATTTCCATATCCTTGTAATTTATTCGATTATAAATAAGATAACTTTCACACCATTTAGGGGTGGTGGATTCAGCAAACATTCACATGGTATCAGAGCCATTTTGTGAATGTTTGATTAATCCACCACCACTGTTGTCTTTGATGCCGCAGAGGCAGTCGTCATGGCTGTCACATGCAGAGCCGATTGATTATTCTTCGGCTCCACCCTTTTGACCTCCAAATCATCCTTCGCCATACTCTGTACATACAACCTCACCTTTTCCAAACATAGCCTCTTTCATTTTCTTCCCAATTTTCCTTTCATCCTTCATCCTTCATCCTTCACAAAAACCCTAATCTTAGGATCTTCATCAGCATTTCTCTTCGAAAATATACAGAATCTCAATAAGCCCATTGACCTTCTGTAGAGATTTACCTTTGGAATCTGGGCGCCGCACTGGCATCTTCGCCAACCAAGTTGCCGCCGCCCTTCTCGCCAAAATTGGCTCCTTCGCCCCAATGTGGCGACTCTTCCAGCTGCCCTTCTCACCAAAATTGGCTCCTTCGCCCAATGTGGCGACTCTTTCGGCTTCAACATTGTCTTTGTCCCTTGCTCTAGGTTTCCCCTTCTACTTCTTGGGGTTAGACATATTCTCACCAGAGCCAAGGCAGCATCGTCGCTAAGCGACAATCCCTCTTCATGGGTTAGACATATTCTCGTCGAAGCCAAGGCAGCATCGCCGCTAAGCAGCAATCCCTCTGCAATTTTCGATGGCCAAGAAAGTGTTTCTCTACGCCTCCTCTGAACCAGGTTGTTGACATCTTCACGAAAAGTGTTTCGCAACCTCTTTGAATTTTTCAGATCCAAGCTTCACGTTCGTTCAAATCTGACGCTCAGCTTGCGGTGGGGTGTTAAGGATATTTAGTAATAAATTATACTTTCCCGTATATATTATATTTGATATTTTATTATAAGGCAAATATCTAACATTTGCCTTATTACTATAGATATCTTTCCATTTATTGTTATTTCCATTTATTACTATTTCCATATCCTTGTAATTTATTCGATTATAAATAAGATAACTTTCACACCATTTAGGGGTGGTGGATTCAGCAAACATTCACACCGTGAAAAAATGGACTCTAACCCATTTGGGTCCTTCACTGCTGCCCTATCATGGCAGGGTAGCGGTCCTTCAAATGAAACAGAGTCACCTCCATTTCTGTAGATGGATGCCCATGATTTAAGAAAATGGTGAACGGCCATCCCATCGGCAACCGCGTGATGAAACGCTATACAAATACACAGACCTTGATTTGGGAAAATCGTGATTTGGATAGCGAAATTTGGTATCGCACGTGACCCGTCCGGCAAGAGACGTGACTCCGGCAAGTCAGGAACAAATGGGTAAAAGTGTTTGGCGTCGCGAGGGGAGTCAGCGATTAGAGTGTTGAAATCGCCGCCGGTTGACTCTGTTACAGTAAGAGGAACAGAGTCGTGAGGTGTGTAAAGGATGTGGGGCTTATGGGGTGGAGGAGGGAGGATGAGATTTCCGGCGAGAGGGAAGAATTGTTGGAGAGAAAGAGAGAGGGAGTGTTTGAGAGTGGGGAAAACAGAGTCGATGAAGTGATTGGTAGAGTGAGGGAATTGGAAGAAGAAGAGCCGTCGCATGGGGCTGCAAATAGTCCAGAGGAAGTCGAGGAAACTCAGGGGAAGACGGGTGGTCGGAACTGAACCTGCCGGCGGAGAAATCCAGTAGAGGTTTAAGAGCTTGGCGGTGTAATCAACGTCGGCCATGGCTACAAACCCAGATTTTTGAAGAAAATGAACCACGAATTTGCAGAATGGAAAGGCGTGTCAAAACAGGGCAGTGATGTGGGGAGGGATTACCAGTTTAAATAATAACTGAAACCTGATCGAATTCATCATAAATTAATTACCGATCCAAGAACTTAATCAATTAAACTCATCACTATCTCTTAATTTCCTTGATTTTAATAAAATATCTCAATTAAATTTATCATTTACACAAGTGAACACAAAAGATTCTATACTATTATGATATTTAATTACTATGACCAGAACCATCTCGTTTCCCTTTCTATTTTAATTTTTTTTTTCTTTTGTTGGATGAAAGTCTCTGCCCACCTATCTAGAATCTTCAACAAAAAAATTTCAAAAGAAAAAAAGAGAGTCAACGCTCTTCAAAGGCATAGTAAAAAATGACTAAAACTAAAAAAAAAAAAAAAAAAAAAAAAAA